ACGTATTATAAACGTAGATGAAATTCTGGTGTTACATAAACTATTTTCCAACGTATAAAGTACGTTTCGTATTAAACATACGTAGTAAAAACGAGTGTTATAAACGTATATTACACTATCGTATAAAAAACGTTAATTCTATATACGTATATGCCATATACCTATACCAGTTTTATACCATACTTACGTTTAATATACGTATATAAAACGATACTGTTCTTATTGGGAATTTAACTTTATATTCCCTGCTTACCTATTAAATAAAGTTTTCTATGAGTCACTGAAGGCATTTCAATCTTCTAAGGAAGGGCTTGAGCAGAATGGCTGATTTATAATTTTAAGACAATGTTTTATGCTTTAATTCTTTGTCTTTCGTAACGCACAATACTGTCTTGTGTTCTCAAGACTCTCAAGTCTTAAACATTGTTGACAGTTTCGTAGAGCCTAAGCAGAATGGCTGTCTTGACAGTGTTTTATGCCCTGAGTTTTATGCCACAATACTGTACAGTATTGTGCGTTACATAAGACAAAGACTTAAGGCATAAAACACTGTCAAGACAGCCATTCTGCTTAGGCCCGAAGTACGAAGCTTTCTATTCTCTTCTTTCTCTCTCTGTTTCCAAAATTATTCGATGTAACTGTATAATAAAAAGTTAAAGTTTAATTGCTTTATATAAACTACAATAATTATCTTTTTTGCAAAGTAACAATACGTTTTCTTTGCACCAATTGATTCATCTTATTATTCTGTACATAAAAGTGTTAAAGTACAGTTACCAAAAAATGAATAGTTTACGAGATATTTTATATTTTATGTCAAAAAGTACCAGAATAAAATATGAAATATTTCGTAAACTATTTTGATAACTCTACCTTAATACCTTTATATGTAGAATAATTAGAAGAATCATATTATAAAAAAAAAAATTATACAATTCTGTATAAAAAAATAACGATGACCTTTATATAACGATTTTTTGAAAATTAGTTTTACCATTATTTGACTTCCTTGATATCCTACAACTTTTGTCTAAAACGTTTTTCCACATCTTCCATATTTTTTTAGATTTCCCTGGAGTATTTAAAATAGCACACCCTGTATATACATTGTTACGTTATTGTATTATAATATTATATCATGTGATAAAATTGGTAATTTTATTGATTTTAATAATAGTAAGTAATATAATAACATATATATATATATATATATATATATCAGCATAGATACGTAATATACATACATATATATAATAATCTTACCACAAACAAAATAATCTATATGTGATCTTTCCATTTCTTGGTGATTATGTAGTATAACACGACACCCTCTCCGATTTCTTCTTCTTTACTTCTTTTTCATTAATCACATGTTGAGAACTTCTTCACATAACCACGATAACCTGATAAATATTTGATCTAGCTGTCAAAAAATTTATCTGATTAATTAAAATTATTGTTTGATGAATTAGTAAATTATAAGCAATTTTTACACATCCATATAGATACACACATACTTGACGTACTTGACGCTGCTTTTTTACTCCTGTCGCATTTTTCCACGCACACACACACACACACACACACACACACACACACACACACACACACAC